TATATATATAGGATTCTATCACCGCCAAAATGTAATTTTAAAGAAATGAGAGGAATAAATAAAAAGGTTCCTACCTGCCCAACTAATTTAACTGCATTACCTGGGGTAAAAATTAACTGAATTAATGACTTAGGAAAGCATTTCTTGAGCCTTTTGAATGCAAACCCCTTGTTTGGCTTATCTATCTACCCATGAAATTACCTCTAACCTTCCTATAGCTAGACAAATGGAAATACTGTGGGGCTTGCACTACTGGTGAAGAAATATGTGTTGATTTATGTTCACTGTTCATTCAGAGCATATGGAGTTGGAACTAGCTGTACTTAGTTACTAGTTGCAAATGTAAGTATCTTGGTACTTTAGAAAAACTGAGCTTCTGCCAGGTGTTACAGGCAGCATATGTTGTTATAGTTAGTATTAACAATTATTACAGTTTGCTCTTAATCAGTAATTACAACCACTTATTATTCTTTAGCCAAGCAAACTGAAGTGCTTTAGACTAACACTATTTTGTTTGTTATTCTGAAATCCCTTTACCTCCTTCTCTGAATACTTTTGCCGTCTCCAAATGGGCAGTGGTCCTCGGACTGAGAAACAGAAATCTGAGGGTAGGCTGTACTTAGATCAGGCACTCGCCCCATCCCCACAGTTCCCTTAGTTGAAGAGAAACAAATGTTATTGAGCAGCGGTAATTCTTGTGTGCCTGTGTTGGGTGTCCTGAACAGACTGCATACCTGAGCTGTCCCGAGGTTACTGTTCCAACTACTTCCCTACTGAGTAATGATAGGGGATTGTAAGAAAGGGGCAGGGGCGCGGAGCAATAGAGCGAAACAGTAGGCAGTCTGGGTTGCTGCTTTGAACAGTTGCTCACCTGATATCATCCCAGTCTCAGCTTCCTTTACTATTATTAATGCCATCTTTCCAGTATCCCCCAAATAATTTATCCTTTGATCAATTCCTGTCAGTCTCGCCATAGTTCCATCACGAGAGCTCCCTTCAGTACTAAAATCTTTTCTAGTTCCCCTTAAGCAGTTTGAATTTTAAGGAGCACTTCTATCTTCTGCTTCCTTATCATGCATGCTATCCCAGTCCCTCAAATGGGCTTTTACTGCTAGGGACAGGAGGATGATTTGAATCAAACTCTTTTTGAAGGGGAATCAAAAGTGTTTATTTTTATATTCTTAGTCTTATTGGAATTCTGTTTATGTTAATATGCAAAAATTATATTTAAAATTAATTTATGCCTCATGAAAATTTTTTTTTATCTAGGGCTTGGAAAGTTGGAAGAAGAAAGGAAGTTACCTGGAGCAGTTAATTTAGTAGTTGTTTTTAGTAACTGGAGGAGGTAGTTAGACAATGACTGAAATTTGTGATTTTTAAAATTGCTATGCTTCTTTGCAGAGCAGAACAGCAAAGAAATGAAGCTTTGTTGAATGCGGAGAAGCTGACAAGAGCTTTCAAAAAGTATAAAGAGAAAATAACTGAAAAATTAGAAAAGGTAAGAGTTTTTTCTTCATGTGTTTTTGCCCTGCTATTAGGATTTTGCTTCTTCTAATAAGCTGGGCCCCAAACAGCAATGGGTTCACCAGTGGGTCAATTGTTTCTGCTTGTTGGTGGCAAAGTCTTGAGAGGTGGGACAGGGTAAGCAACTGTTTGTGGTGATAACTTCAGTTATCCAGTTTTAAACTGTCTTTGCACAGTCTAGACAGTCTGCCTCTTTGAGGTATCCTAATACTACTGCTGTCTCTTGCTTGCCAGCTGGGAATTTTACATTTTAAAAGTATACGATCCTTCTTTTAAAAAAACTCATTTGACTCCATCTCTAACCTGTTCAATGAAACATGAGCTAGAGAAGAGCTAAGATAAAAATGAAGTCATCTCCCAAAGTTCCGGTGGTCAAAATTGTTAATGCTTCCTGCTTTGTGGGAGGAGAAAATACAGGCCTGAGACAGTTAGCTCTTACAGGGAATTTTTATTTGATTAGACTTCTTTCCTTGTGGAAGGAGATTGCCAACCACAAATATGCCCTATAATACTAAACCAAAATAACATTACTTTTTTCCCAAATGACAGAAGAAAATAAAACTTCTTTGCCCCTCTCCTTTTCTTCACAACAGTGAGCAACAGAATTATCTACAGCCTTACCAGAAAGAAAAAAAGAAACAGCATAGTGTTTATAGTAGTCTTAAAAAAAACTGTTGTACAGTAATGAAAAAAATTGCTTTTTAAGGTTAAAGCTGAAGAAGTAGCCTTGGGAAAACGTTTAATTAATTGTGAAAAAGAAAAAGAGAAGTTGAATGAAAAGTGTGTCAGCTACAGAAAGGATCTAGACATCCTAGAAGAGCAATTAAGGTAACGCAAAGGCTTTTAAAGATTTTGTACAGTTATTTGAGAAGAAATTATATGTTACAACTGTCACTGTGAACGTGCTGCTCAAGTCACGTAGTTCAAACCAAATCAGGACCAGCATCAGTGAACACTTAGGAACAGTATCAGCAGTACAACAGACAAACCATAATACTAAACAGGTAAAAAATGTTAGCATACACTTACAAATTTCTAAATTCTTCTCTGTAACTAATCCTTGAAAGTTCTAATCCCACACGCTGCCCCATATTCACAGTAACAAGCAACACCCCACAAAGCCGTCTGGGAGCGTAGGTTCCCTTGCTTGCACACTGCTTCTGTGGGAGGTGTGGGTACTCTGGCTTTATGTATACCTGTTCTGCTGCCTGCAGTCTGCTAATGTACATGCCAGTGAGAAAGCCTATGAGTTCACTTATGCCACCAGGTGCAAGTCCCTTCTTGTTGCACAACATATTGTCAGTCCCTAGCTAGAGTGAAGGATGCTCTTGGCATCTGATGGGGAGGCTGCACTCAGGCCTGAACAGGCCATCAGAGGTTGTGATGCTGGCTGCAACTTCTGGAAGTGTCAAGCCAGGTTTTCACTGCTACTCTGTTCCCACTCCAAGGTCCTTTCCCACTGTTACCAATTCTTGTATGTTTCATTTCAAGCTGAACCCATCTTTGTTTCAGAAGTCTTTTTGGTAATTTGGTAATAATGAGGGAAGACAACCATCAGCTGGTTGTTCTTTAGCATTATTAGGTTTGGACAAACACCTTCTCAGACAGTTGGGGGTATCCCATTCACATGCACTGTCCACACCCACACTCCTGTCTTAACAGTTGTTCTTTAGGCCAATTTGGCAAGGGTGGGGAGTGTGCGAGCACCTTTATACTAGCTTGAGCCTGTTTAATAGCTCTCTGCTGCTGCTGAGGGTCTTTCCTCTAGACTGCCCTCTTTTCTCTGCGAACTTGCACTGGGTTTGGCACTCATCAGGACCTTTGCTGAGCTAATTCAGTTTGCTAAATCGACAGGTACTTAAAAAAGTGAATAATTTGTGATGGGCTAAAAATACAATTCCTCACTGTACAGTCAGATACGAGGGGAGAGAAGAAATAGGACCCCTCTCTGTCTTATTAATAGCAGAATGTTTGACTAGCTCAGTCTTAGTACGTTATTTTCATCCATTGTCATTTTAGGTATAGTTATATAGTTATTTTGTCTTGTTCTTAAATTTCCTTGGCTTCAGCACAGTGTTGTGGTTTAACCCCAGCCAGCAACTAAACACCATGCAGCCACTTGCTCACCCCCCGCCTCCGGTAGGATGGGGGAGAGAATTGGGAGGGCACAAGTAGGAAAACTCGCGGGTTGAGAGAAAAACAGTTTAATAATGGAAATAAAACAAAGTAGAACAGTAATAATAACTATGATAACAATAACAGAATATCAAAGCAGGCAATGCACAATGCAACTGCTCACCACTCGCTGACCGCATGTCGCGAAGAGGGGGGCGCTATTTTTATACTGAGCATGACGTCACATGGTATAGAATACCCCATTGGCCAGCTGGGTCAACCGCCCTGGCCATCCTCTCCCCTGCCCCCAGCTTCCCCTGCACTTGGCAGAGTACGGGAGGCCGAAAAGTCACTGGTGCAGGCACTACCCAGCAACAACCAAAGCATCAATAGGCCATCAATGCTCCCCTCATACCAAACCCAAAACACAGCACCCCCGCCCCCCCAGCTACTGGGAAGAAAGTTAACTGTGCCAGCCGGAACCAGGACACACAGTTAAAAGCCACCTTGATCTGTTTCCTACCAGTAACTCTCCTGATAGTGCTTAAAAATTTATTAAGTTGCTTAAGAATGAGAAGTAGTTTATACTCTCCTTTTGTTTGCTGATAGCAGTTTGCATCTCAGTCCTTAAGAACAGTGAAAGCTTAGTAAAGCAGTGAAAACTTTTCTATCCTTTGTATAGAGCTAATCTTAGATTTTCAGAGGGAGGAAACTAGTAAAACAGTATAGATACCGTGTGTTCTTCTAGTACTTTTAATAATGAAAATCCTAGTCTACTTCTCTATGTTGAGCTATACCTTTTAAATGGATATACTTTTTTTAGGCAATTAAAGGAAGAGAATCATAGCACAAAAGAAGAAATTAAGACTCTAGAGGCAAAGAATACTGAAATGTTATCAATGCTGACTCGGTCTGATCAGAAGATCATTGAGCTTGAGAATGAACTTAGTGAAAAAGAAATAGTACTTAAAGAGAAAAATGCTCTAATAAGTGAAAACGCAGAGCTGAGAGCACTTACTGTACAGCAACATAACCGCTTGAAATTATGCCATCAAGAAATTGAGGATTCAAGGGAAGAGCTCAACATACTAGAAACGATTATTTCCCAGTTGTCTCTAAGTACATCTGAAGAGGTACAGTAACTGATACATCCTTACAAGTTGTATTATGTGTCTTAAAGAATTCTAACTGACATTGCATGGAAATCCTGTGACGTTCTTGAGAAATAATCTGGTAAAATATCTTTGGTTTTCAAGATACATGGTTGAAATGTTTTGTTAATTTAAATATGTTACTTTTGTTTTCTCACTCAAGAACAAGGAATAGGTGCTTTGGAATTGATTAATTAGCAAGCATTTAAAATTACACTTTCTGTTCCTCTGTTCTGTGTATTGATTCTTCAGATGTAGGTATATTCTCTAAAACATGGTGATGTCCTATTATATGATGCTGAGGTTCTTGTCAGCAGAACAGTATGACATTTCCCATGTGGCAGACACATTGTGTCACACAGCCAAGAGTCAATGTGTCAACCTCAGCAATGGAGAAATGAGAGCAGGAGAGATGTTTGTAGGAACTTTTTTTTGCTGGGAAAGAGAAGGCACACCTTCCCTGACTGCGAAGAACTTTTGTTTTACCAGGATGAACCCTGGCTTATGAGCCTGAAGCTTGTACTGGTGAAGTTTATCACTAAACTGAGCGATTGGTAAAAACCCCAAAGTTGTGAACTGACTGGGGTTACTGGAGGAACTGTTTGGGAAGTCAGGAAGGGTTAGAGAGATACATGAGGTCAGGAGTACAGGTTGCATCAGATATCTTTATTTTTGAAGTATAAATGTGAGTAGCTGTAATGAAAACAAAATTGAAAGTATGCTTTCTGTATGATTTTGGAATTGCCAAAGGGACCTCTGCTGAAGAGAATATAGTAATTTTGTATAAAAATGATGTTTTGGGCTGTTGTGATGATAGACATTTATTTGGAAGAGCCTTAAAAATTGTTTTAGGGCCCTTTTGGAAAATACATTTACATTTTCTGGAAAGATTTGGGATTATTTTTTTTGGGAATATTCAGAAGCCTTCTGCAACTTGAGGAAGAAATAGTATTAAATGCAGTCATCGAAATCTGAAAGGAGGCGTGATGTGAGAAGTTCAAAATGTGATATTACTGATAGTATCTCCATCTACTTAATTTTTCACAGCAAAAAAATTCATGCTTCAGTACCTGTGCAAAGATATCTAAAGGAATGGCCTCAGTTTCAGAGGGCCTTAATGCCTATAATTTCTACTAATGTGAGACAAAACTGCAGTGCTTTGCACACACTTAGGAGAATAATTTTATCCAAACTTTCAACATCCTGACATACGTGTCTTAAAATTTGTATGCTAGTATAACACATGAATTAATCACACTGGGAAGTAATAAAAAGTGGATTTTTGCATTGATCTTGGTTTTCCCTTAACTTTTAGTTTAAATGGCACCACTTGAAACACCAGCTATCCAGTTCCTCAACAAAAGAAGCTCTCTCTGAATCTTGTGAATCAAATAAACCTTTGATTGCAGACCTAAGGTATAACTTTCTGGTTACTGGATTATGACAAGAATAGGCAGATAATAAGGTGGTATTAGAACTAGCGTGTAAAAAGAATGTTAAATAATTGTCTCCTCCTTTATAATAGCATTAAACTGGCAATGAAAGAAGCAGAAATTCAAAAGCCTTGTGCAAACTTAACTATCTGTAATGGAGCCGAGCATCTTTCTAATGACAATGAAGGACAAGAAAATAGCAGGTTATGTGGCCTGGAAACAGAGCCTGTCAAATTGATCGGAAGTCAAGGAGGTAAGCTTACAGAAATAGCTGTGCAGTTCTGTCTGATTAATTCACAGGAGTGGATTAACAGGAGGTTTTTGGTGGGGTTTAAATAGTTTTTATAGTGTTTTTTTAAATATATCTCTGTGAGCTAACAGATATGGTTTGGTTGAACAGGGAGCATTTTGCCACCTTGGAATTCTTGAAATTGTCATGTTCTCCAGGCACAATATTCTTCTTCCTTTTGCTAGTTAAGTTACTTGTTCAGCAATATCCAAGCTGTGAGTTGTGTTGAAATAGAACCATGGATTTTTTCTTTATGCAGGTTATGCTAAGCTCTCCGTATTTTCTTTGATTCTTTTCTCTGTATCCTGCTGTTGCAGAATTTCTGCAATTGCTTTTGCGATTACTATTAGGACTGCTCCATGAAATGACTTCAGGGCACCTATATTATGATTCTGTCTTCAATTTTTTTTTGTTTGTTTGTGGGGGCTTTTTGTTTGTTTGGGGTTTTTTTGTTTGTTTGTTTTCATGAGTCACAGCTTTCAGTTACATTACGGGGAAAAAATAAACAGTCTTGTGTCTGAATACTATATGTATTAGTTCAATATGCTGTCATTATATTATATTTCTCCTTTCTTTGGTTTGTATGATTATTTGTTTGAGTGCTGGTTTGTATGTTCTTTTATAAATTAATCTTAAATTTGTTTTTTCTACTTTGAGAGAGGAGAAAATGTCAACGGTTGGAACTTATCAGCAAGCAATTTGAAAAAGAGAGGCGAAGATTCCAGAAAGAGCTAGAAGAGTTATGCACTAAACTGACAAGAGCGGATGATGAGAATTCTTCGTTGAAGACCAGCATGGCTCAGAGAGCCAGTCAGTTTCAAATCATACAGGAAGACCTATTGAAGAAGGCTTCAAAAACTAGTAGCTTAGAGAGAGAAGTAAGTTTTTAGCAGCACTGACAAAATGTCACTTTTTGTTTAGTTTGGCAATCAAAGCTAGTTAAGACAATAGTTATGGAAAAACTGCAATTGCCATATTAATTTTAAAATCTGACTTATTTAAGAAAAATTGGAAATAAACTTTTGAGCAAGCAGAAAAACTTTAAGATAGCAGCCTTAATTTGTTAGTTGTCAGAAATCTCATTTTAAAGCTGATGTAGTTAGTGGGCTTTACTACTACTGTTTTGATTTGTTATGTGGAAAATATGCCCAGTCTTGTTGCTTTGGTATGATTGAATTAATGTGTAATCTTAAGAAATAGATGGTGAAGGAACAGTTGTATTTTTCCTCATTAAATGTTAGTACAGTTGCCAGAGATTAACATCATTACCAGAGAGTCACGAAAGAAAGAAATTAAGCTTCAGCTAGCTCTTCTCTGGTTGAGTAAGTTAAAATGCTAATGTTTATGTTCTGGTGCTAATGTGGTTTTAGAATTCCAACATAGTGGGATTTGCAGTGTTTCCTAACAATGGCCATATATGTTATAAATCTGTATAGCTAATTCACTCCTATGGCACTAATAATTATCATGACTTGGATAAATTTGAGGTAAATTGTCCTGAATTCTTCTCTGTAAGTAGTAAAGTTGAATAGATCATACAAAAATAAACAAATACAAAAATAAATAAATAATTCATTAAAAATACTATGAAGTAGTAGTAGCTAAAACGGAATTGGTGGTAAGAAGGTATATACAGATACTTGAATAAACCCGAAACGGTTGTCTTCATGCTGTTTTGTGCCATATTTAATTTCAGATAACAAAGAAATCTTCTCAACTTTCTGTACTTGAGAAACAGTTGGAAGAAAAGACTATTGCTTATTCTGCTGCTGCAGCAAGAAATACTGAGTTGGAAGAGGAACTCGTGGTAAAATGTTCTCAGTGAGAAACTACATTTATGTAAAATGACATAAATGGAGATTAAAGTTTAAGTTAAAACAGTATTATTCCATGTATTCAAAATGGATAGACTTTCAGATCTGCTAAACGATCTGTGTGGTTTTTAGGCAGTGCAGTTTTTAAAAACTGAATAATCTTGCTTCAGGTAAAACATCCCTTTTTTCCTGCTTTTGAACATGGTAAGTTATTAATGGACATGTTACTTTTTCATTGTGATGATATGTGCAATGAAAATCTGGTCCTATTGAAATCAATTGTAGCATTGCCATTTGTTTCAGTGAGATCAGAATTTTATCCTCACTATGAAAAATTTTTTTTTGTCTTTGTCAGAATTAAGATTTTCCATCCTTTGAGCTCACTCTCTAAATCTCTTTTTAATCTCCACTTAGTAAAATTACCTTCCCCCCCGATAGGAATAAAACTACTCCTAAAATAGCGTATACATGATTGGTTTGGTGTATAGGATGAATAGGTTAGAATGTACTGCGTTGGAACTTTTCTATTTCTTTTTCTGAAATTCTCAAGTAGTCTTCCGTATGAAATTATTAGGGTAAGAGGTGGATTCCAAATGGACAAATCACTTCACTTCTCTGTTTCTTTTTTTGGTTGTTGTTCTTGAACTGTCTATTTTTACGAAATACATGTAGACCTGTGAATAAAAAAGTCTTCTAAATGGTAATAAGTGAAGAAGGTGATGTAATACTTGGAGCACTGTAAATTCCGGTCTGGATATTGTTATACCAACTTTTTTAGTTTTGGGAAGGGGTGTAAAGTTGCTAGAAAAGGAAAATATTTATGTGGTCCCTTTCAAATGGAATGGAAACCTGTATTTTAAAGATTCCATCTGTCCATGTGAACACAGGATTTCTTTTTGTCTTTATCAGAAGTTCCTTGCTCCAGTTGCTGTAATCTGTGCCAGTAGTCCACCTTGGCATATACCTTGTCTCTGTGTAGTGGCTGCATTTAGTGGCGTTCTATACCTATATTATAAGTGTGACATCCTTTGAGATGAAACATGCTGTGTATAACTTTAGGATTTTCTGTGTCGTTCTCTTATGAAATCTAGGAATTCAGTCATCAAATAAAACACTGTTTAATATCACAGCTAAATATTTTTATTAAGTCCTTTTTGTTGTTGCTGTTTCCCAGGGAAAAAACAGACGCATTCATGAGTTGGAAACAACTATCAGCGAAGAACATGAGCAAATAACTTCTGCTTTTGAAAAAGCAAAGTTGGTTTGCCTTGAGCAGCACAAAGAGATGGAGAAACAGATTGAACTAGTAAGACCTTCCTTGTGTGCTAGTATGTATGAATGGTATACTTGGTAACGTTTTTCCTGCATTAATTTCTGTGTCTTTTTAGTAATTCTGAGGCAGATGTCCAATTAAAAAGTTATATTATCTTCTCCCAACGTTTCCTGATTTTAGTTAATTTTCCATCTAACACTACCCAATCTCATGATTTCCCTCTGAGATATTCACATCCTCTTTTCTGCTCAACTGAAGAGAAATAGGGACTTAAGAAGAATACTGTTGTTCTTTGCTCCAAACACCTAGCACAAAAGGAAAAAAAAGGATAGCTTTTCTGCCTACTGGGGTTAAAGCATGACAGCTTCTAAAAATTTTCTCGTTTGCTGAACCTCTGCCAGCCTGAGCCTTATGAGCATCTGTGTTCAGGGAGAACTCTCGGTAGGGTTTTTCAGTCTTTAGAGAAGAACTCTGTTGCTTCATGTGATTAGAAATATAACCGTGGCTATTTCTAGCTGTTAAAGAAGCCTGTCATCTTTTACTAAAGAACGTATGCATGTCTTACTGTCTTGGCTGATGTCAGGCAATTATGCTCAGCCTGCCCTCATTCTCTTGATTCTCCTGTTGCTTTAAAATATTAAGGGTTTGGGATTTCTTGATATTTTTAATACTGTGCAATACTGCTGATGGCAGCAATGTATTTATTTTTCATTCTTAAAGTGGTGGGTGTGTAGAACTGAATGACATAATTAGATGCACAAATTCTCTGAAAAAAATTATTAAAATAATAAACCCTGAATTACTTATGGACAGCTTCAGACACAGCTAGAGAAGAAAGATCAACAATTCATTGAACAAGAGAAAATAATATCTATTTTGCAACAAGATGTTATACATAAACAGCATCACATTGAATCATTGGATGGGCTGCTGATAGAAAGCAGAGAGGTAAGGTTGGCTCTTGGCTTTCTTTAAATGCAAATCAAACAAGTGACAAATAATGATGAAAAGCATATCCATGAACACATGGAAAAATTGGAGAAAAAGGTACTTATGTGTTTGCTTCTTAATTCTTGTTGAGTAATTAACTGAATCTAGTGTAGTCCCCAGCTACTACTATTATGAATTGTACAAACCTCAATGACTTTTCATTATTTTCTATCTCAGCATTCTGTTTATGCCTCTGGTTTGCGCCTTGGGCTTCTCGCTCTGATCAAAGGAAAGAGATGTGGATAAAGAACAATTGCATCTGTTTTGCACTGGGTGGAAACCAAGAATGTTCTATTATGGCAGTGTTTTATTCCTTTTAATAATTGCTACTGCTGCAGAATATGAAGGGAAACCTATCAGGAACCAAATTCACTTCAAAGCATGATGTACACAAATACAGTATACAAGCAATTGTGTTTTAAATACGCTGATCTATTTTTTTTTTTTCCTGATTCTTAGTATGAGTTTTTATTAGTTAAATTACTATTACTATATTTACGTTTTGTTCTCTTGAATAAAAATATGTGTACAAACAGGAAATGGAAAATCAAAATGTCAAGAAAGATCAAGGATTGAAGGTGCTGAAAAGTCAGTTAACAGAAGAAACATTCAAAGTTAGTAAGCTCTTTGTAATTTTCAATTAGTAGTTTTAAAGTTTGTAGTAGTGGTGTATTTACTTTTATCCTCTATAGACAAACTATATGAAAGCTGCTTTATAGAAATTTGTCTCACATAAATATTTCTGAAGCCATTAACCTGAAGTCTTTTTTTTTTTTTTTTTTTTAAAGTAAATGAAGTATGGTGAAACCTGCAATAAGAGATTGTGCAATGCACAATTGCTTTATAAAATCGCTGTAGTTACAAATAGGGCAGATTTGTGCTTGTTGTACTCTTAAAGTAAAACCTTGTCTTTTTGTTCTAGGTAGAACATATATTTTAGACATATGTGATGTTATAAAATTGGTCATGTTTTGTGGTGGTTTAACCTGGCAGGCAGCCAAATACCACGCAGCCGCTCGCTCACTCCCCCTGCCAGTGGGGCGGGGAGAGAATCGGAAGGGGGAGAGTGAGAAAAACTCGTGAGTTGCGATGAAGACAGTTTAGTAGAACAGAAAAGGGAAAATAATAATGATAATGATAGAATATACAAAATGATTGACTCACAAGTCAGTGGCTCGCCATCTGCACTGACCGATAACCAAGTAGCGATCGGTACTTCCTGGATCACGCCTACCATTCATATACTGAGCATGATGTCACATGGTATGGAATACCCCATTAGCCAGCTGGGCTGGCTGTCCTGATTATGGTCCCTCCCATCTTGTGTACCTAGCTCAGTCAGTAGGGCATGGGAGCTGTCCTTGGACTAGGAGGGTACTTAGCAACAACTGAAAACATCAGTGTGTTATCAACATTCTCCTCATACTAAATCCAAAACACAGCACTAGGAAGAAATTTAACCCTATCCCAGCTGAAACCAGGACATGTTTTTAGTCATCTATACCTCTTCCTAGTGTCTGCCTGATAAATATTTTCCATGCAGCGCTTACAATAGTATTTTAATAAACCATTACCATGTGGTGATTTACCACAGTCAGGCTTCAAACAGTATTAAATCTTTAGGATATCACTAGGAGAAGATACTGGGGACTTAGCTGGTAGCATGATCTTTCTGAACTTGTGTTGGACCAGTTTTCTATCCAAGTGGCTTTGTAGTGTTCAGGATGTTTTCCAGAGATTTAAAATTAGGACCCATGATCACTTCTCTTCAAAAAGCTCTTGAATCGGGTGGGGATAGAGGTATAAAATCCGATATGGTTTAACATATTGGTAGCATTGAAAGCAGTAGCCAATCTGCAGCTAAACTCAGCACAGTTCTCGTTGATGAGAAAAGTCTTCTTAGCACTGAAATCAAACAGTTAAGAAAAGTTTAATTACTATGGCTTAAGACCTCTGGGGGTTTGTTCATTATAATTTTTATCTGTCTGAAGTTATAAGATATTTGTTAGAGATTACTCAAATCCTAATTAATAGTAAAAGGGTAAAATAGATTAACAGTGTTGACACTGCTAAAAGCTTTTCCTTTCCCTTTTGGTAGAACTCAGGCACTCTCTCTCAGTGCAGAAAGGAAAAAAAATGCTGTTTAGTAGCTTTCTAAGCTACTAAAGAGCTTCTAAGGGCTTTGTAAGAAGAATTGTATTAAGATCTGAATGTTATTTTTGAAAAAGATTTGCACAACTCACACATGATGATAATTCCAAATTTATGTATACAATTCTATATGTAACATTTAATATGTAATAAAACGTGGTGGATTAATGATTTGGTATTGGGCATATGTTTGCTTTTAAATTCTAGCTACTGACAAATACTGGAATATCTTGTCATAACTGGTAGTCTCATCTGATGTAAGCACAGTCTAAAGTATTGTAATTTAATTTCACAAATAATTTTAATTTCTGAATATTGTTTCAGTTTTTAAGTTTATCATAATCTTCCATGCCTGTTTTAATACTCTTTAGATAAAAATGTAGCTTTTCAGACATTTTACACAAAGATGTTTTTAACACTTTTTTTTAAGACTAGTTGATAAAACCATGCCATGAAATTTTAAGTAATCTGTTACATTCAACTAGGTGAGACAACTTGAGTCAGCACTAGATGTATGTAAGGAAGAAGTGGCACTGTATTTGAGTCAGTCACAAGAAAATAAGGAAATATTTGAAAATCAGCTCAAAAGAAAGTCTGAAGAGGTAACAGCTTGTTTTAACAACTCTTCTGTATTGCAGAGAACACTTGTTATGAATTATTTAATCTAAAAGGTTTGTCTGTGAAATAAGAGACAAAACATTTGCAGCAGGAACTGTGACTAGGAAGTAAGCTGGGAAAAGACTATACATTTTGTGAGGGTAAAGGGGAAAATCAGTAACTAAGAAACACTGGATAAGCTTAAAAGAAGTACCAAGATAAATTGTTCAGAGAAGTAACAAAATCAGAATTAAGTGATAGGAAGCATTATCTTGGAAAAAAGTGGAGAGCGCGCTATTGCAATATAAACTTAGGTGCACATAATTGATTTGTGTTTCAGGTATCTTAAGGGGGAAGAAGTCCTGGGCATAAGAAAATTTTTACTTCAAGCCCCTGAGTTTTATCATACTTTCCACCACTACATGAAAGCAGGAAAGAATTAAGTTTAAATATTATTAGTATGAATTTTTATTTGTGGGGATGACATGAACTAATTATCATAGTATTGTGTTCATGTCAGTGGTGCCCTACCTGCTGAGATAGGCTTTAGTCAATCGGAGATTACTAGACCCTGTACAGGAGTAACTGGATGGAAATCTACGGTCTGTGTTACACGTAAGCCTATGATATTTACTGCTGCTTTCTAAGCCCTAAATTCTGTTGTTCTTATGCTGCATATGAAGAGACTGGATGCTGTGTGAAACTCAAGGGTGGAAAGTGAGGCTTTGTAATTGTGACCGATGTTTTCGTAAGTAAGTGACAGAGTCACTACTTCCACTTTGGGATGAGCAGTTAGTGGGGTTTTTTGGTTTTTTTTTGTTTGTTTGTTTTTTTGTTTTTTTTTTTTTTTTTTTAAGAACCTTTCCTTTTCAGAAAGTTCTTGGCATTTGTCGCTGAGAAATCAGGCCATTCAACATGTGACAAGTTAGGCACTCAGAATTCCTGTTTTTTATTGGAATGACTGTTGTCATAGAGGCAGGAAGAAATAAAGGGGAGGACTGAGAACAAAATCTCAAGGGAAAAACAAGGACTTTCTGAGAAATAAAGTAAGAAGAGTGACAGAAAGAAAAGTAATTTAGAAATGAAAAATCTTTGTTATATATGTTTTTAAAATATTGACCAGTTTAGGTATATTTAGAAAGCAAGAAGTCAAAACCTGGGGCTGATTAAGTTACTTCTTTCTTCACTTTATAAAGCACAACTCAGTGATGAATTATGAGATGTGTTATGTACTGTTGAAACTGTAATGCAACTAAATTCAGAGCCAGAAGTTTTATTGAATCATAGTTGTGATTGTGTGATTGTGCTCATTAAGCTGATGCAAATGCAAATAACAATGTTTTATTGTAATGGAAAATGAATGTGTTTTCAGGTTCATTATTTGCAAGAAGAAATAAAACTAAAAGATCAGAATATTCAGGACACAAGTGAACAAAATATTCTCCTACAACAAACTTTGCATCATCAGCAGCAAATGTTACATCAAGAAACTATTAGAAATGGGGAGCTGGAAGATAATCAAATTAAACTTGAAAAACAGGTATAGTATGGTAAGAAGTGTCTACATAAAGACAGATAATGAAATGCTTTTATGTATGTTTTTGTAATACCTTTAAAATCTGAGTGTTTCTTTGATAGTTATTATTTTAGATATATCTAAAATAAAGAATTTAGTGGTTTGTTTTGTCTTAAACCAGGGTCTGTGCTGTTAGAAACTCTAGCTAGTATTAGAGTGGCTAAGTACTTGGAAAATCAAACCCTAGACTGCAGTTAAGGAGAGGTGTATTTAAATTCAGAAAGTTGAATCTTGTTATATTTACTAGAAACTATTTGTCTGTCAAATGTGACTGCAAAGTTCTAGTCTTAAATTATATAAAATTTTAGATTATAAAGAAATCGATTGTGTTAAAACTCACTACATGAGTTGCAAGACAAGGATGTGTATTTCTTTGGTATGTAATTTAGAAGTACCAACACTTTTTAAATACCATTTTAAATAGGTATCCAATTTGGAACAAGAGCTTCAGAAGCAGAAAGCATATGCAGAAGATGAGTTGAGAAAGGTAGAGGAGAAACTTCGCCTAGCTGCTCAGGAAGCAGATTTAAACAGACAGAAGGTGGATGAACTTAATAGTACAATCAGGTAGGTTTAGAATAACTGAGAGGTATATTCTGCAGATAGACATATCAATAAGAAGGATTGCTGTCTGAAATGGTATTCAGTTATGTAGTCATACAATTCAGTCTCCGTATAAGCATAGACTGGAAATTGGAAGGGAAGTTTCTAACTAGCAGAGTTTCTGGAACAATCTTCCAACGGAATTAATGTGTGTCCTGGCAATCTATTTAGCCTTAAGATGGCACTTCATAATGCAATTCAATTCATAAATATATCAAGTTGCCTGTAATTCTAGATAGTAGATGCTAGGAGGGCGTGGTAGTCTTAAAGAATATGGTTTTGATTGTGAGAAAAGCCTACTTAATATGACTTTTTTTATTCCTGTTTTATTCACAAATGCTTGTCGTCTTAGGCCGTGTAAGGACATACATACGTCGCTGTTGTTATTACAAGGTTCATTTTGTTCTGGTTGCTTCTTCTATTTAGACAAATTAAATTGGAGATGGATCAGTGCAAGAATGAACTTACTGGTATGGAAAAAGAAGTAGTGCAATTAAAACGAGATGGTGAAGACAAAGCAATGCAGATAAATCAGTTGCATATTACTTTGGAAGAAGCACAATCAGAGCTCAATGAAAAGGCAAATGAGGGTAATTTTGCTATTTTGTTTCTCAGGCTTCCTTTCATCATGCTATTTCTCTGTATGTATTAGATTAGACATTTTTCCTTTTCCCCCTTTTGTTTTATAATAAAGTACATGAGGGTAAAAATATGGTAATTTTGATGGAGGGGCTACTCTCCATCAACTCTTTTTTTTTTTTTTTTTAATGTGCTGGTAATTCCATAGTTTTTAAAAGAAAGAAAAAAAAAAAAACCAAAAACAAAACCTAAAAAACCCCACACCCCCAAACAAACACCCCTCCCCCCCAAATAAAAACCTCAGAAAACCCACAAACTTTTTTTTTAATCATAGAATCATAGAATCATTAAGGTTGGAAAAGACCTCTAAGATCATCGAGTCCAACCGTGATCCCAACACCACCATGCCCACTAAACCATCTCCCTAAGCGCCTCATCTACACGTCTTTTAAATACTTCCAGCGA